AAGCCAGCCAGCAATGTTTATTGCCAGTATTATTAATGATCGGTTCTATTTTGGAAGTGAAATGTGAATATCCGAGAGGAGATATGATATCCATAGTGGGGTGTTGTTTTGCGAGAATGTTTTGTTTGTTTGCTCAGCAGTACGTATATTTTTCTGAATTTAGAGGTTCTGCGGAATTAAACGGTGAACAGAAATTGATGTGTTACTAGGTAGACGTGAGAGTGTAAATATTTTGCTCAGCTCCTTATAAATATGTAAAATTTAAGGAGTTGATTGAATTTTAGATGAAAAACCCTGCAGATTTATGACTTCTTTTTGCAGAGATTCGAAAGCATTCCTTTGCTGAGAAAAGTCCTGTTTATATGGACGGTGAGGGTGAGATCAAGCCACAACAAGAGCATGGTTCCTCTTCAATGGAGGTTTGTTTGTATAGTTTATTGCTAGTTTTTATTAAATTTGATTGAATATATGGCATTCATTTAGTGTTAGTTGTTTTCAAACGCGTGATGTTCCAGTTGAGGTAGTCTGTAAACGCGGATAATTCGTTTTTGTTAATGATGGTAGCAATCAGTATTGTTGCTTACTAACGGCGGATATTCATTGATAACATTTTTTAAATTATTTACTCGTTTATTTATGTATATTGTTTGATGGATGACAACAAACAGGTGAATGCTATTTGCGTTTACGCATAATATTTCACTTGTGCATTTCAGAGAACGGGGCTTGATGCATCCAAATCGAAATCGTTGTTGAACACAACCTCAACAACACCAACTAACTTATCGTCGTCGTGTCACGATGAGATACTTGAAGCTGACGACGAACTTCCTAATAATGATGGTGAAGCTGCTACCCAACACGCTTCGCAACAGACCAGCTCAGCGGATTTCTTTCAAACAACGAAAATTGATGCGTTCGGATTCATGCATTCGCCAACCAGCGCTGAGTTGGTCTTTTACTGCTCGTAGATTTGCAACTATATTCATAATTCAGCATTGAATCTAATGCAACACTACGCGCACTCTTCTTCATCGAATTGAAAAGTGGTGATATTTGCAGTGATCAGAGCAGTGCTGAGGCAGCGGTGGTCAGGGATTTGGGTACTCTGCGGAAACGTGAAACAAAATGGCTTTATATGCTGTCAAATTGGACGTATTTTATGGATAATAACTACGAGAAAGTGCGAGAACGGTGCAGAAAGGGTATACCACCGTCTTTGAGGGGTCGAGCTTGGAAGCATCTCTGCGGAGCTGCGTTTCATATGGAATTTAGCGTGAACAGGAATGTTTTTGATGTACGTTTCGTAAATTCTTAAAGCATTTATTTCCATTTTACTTGTTGTTTTCCATTTTATTTGTTTTACTTATTATGTTATCGCCATTTTCTTGAGAAGTTGTTCAATGGTTGTTTGTTTTGATTCACTTATCGGATTATAAGAATTAGAAAAGGTTTCCTATCAAAGTTTTGAAAATCCTCATGAAATCTTTTTATTTCACAGGAACTCAGTAATCTACCGGGTGATCCTCACTGGATTGACGATATCAAAAAGGATTTGAATCGTCAATTTCCCGAGCACGTAATGTTCTCACGATATGGTCCCTACGGCAAGCGAGGGTAGGAGTGCAGTTTCTTTCATTTCATTTCAAAACGATTGTACATTTAAGTTTTTGGGAGAAATTAGCCAACATTTTCAGCTTTTCACTTTCCAAATATCAAAAATTCTCGTTCTTTATTGACGACGAAATTTGCATTTAAGGAATGGAATGGAATGAATATTTCAGGAAGAAAGATTTGTTTGAGTTGTTGAAGGCGTACACGATTCTACACCCAGAAGAGGGTTACTGCCAGGGACAGGCGCCGATTGCATCTGTTCTTCTGATGCATATGCCTTTGAAAGATGCGTTTTATTGCTTTGTTCAACTGTGCCATAAATATTTACCTGGTTATTACAGTGCGGGTTTGGTGAGTGGTTCGATTCATCACAGAGCATTTTTCATATGTTTTGGTTTTTTTTGTTTTTTCTTTGATTTTTTTTGAAACTTGGTTTCACAACAGTTTTGTAAAAATATATAGTTTCTAGAATGCAGAATTTTTCACCTTTTGCTGAAAGTTTCATTCTGTTTTTTTTTTCTTTTTCAGGAAGCAGTGCAGATCGATGGTGATATATTATTTCAGTTACTAAAAGAGAAGTCGAAATTGAGTTACAGACATTTAGTGAGAATTCGTTTTTTGTTATCAGTTTTTGCGATAGTTTCGTTTATTTAGATTTCGTTTGTTTATTTGATAACTTTTACAGTTTTTTGTAAAACGTTTGTTGCATTTTTAACAATGTATATCTGCAGAAGAAGCATCATGTCGAGCCAGTTTTGTATATGATTGAGTGGTTTATGTGCTTGTATTGCCGAACGTTACCTTGGCCGACGGTTTTGAGAGTCTGGGATATGTTCTTTTGTGAAGGTTTGGTTCATTGCTTCGATTTTACGCATGGATACTTCTTCATGTGTAAAGTATAGATAAACAAACGAAATGTAAATAATTTTTTGATTTTGATTGTAAAGTTTGACTTTGATAGGTTACAGTTAATGGGAGTGTTCCCGTTACAGGTGTAAAAGTGCTCTTCAAAGTGGCCATAGTGCTATTCCGGTATGGTCTCGGAACGACCGAACAGATAAAGCAATTCAACGATTTCCATTCGATAGTCACACGTCTCAAAAATCTGCCTGCGTCGATCACCGAGGAGAATTTCCTCATCAACAAAGTACGCAGTTTGGGATTTTAGAAGATCTGGTTTTCTTTGGCGTGTTTTTGAAATGAATTTTGGAGCTTTTGAAGTGAAACTTCTGAAATGAGATTGCAGATTTTGTGAAATTAATTTTTGAGTTTTAAGGTGATTGAATTGGATTTGGATGATGGGTATATGGAACGGTTGCATTATCGGGCAATGAAAACGAGGCAAATGCGTGTCAAACTATCGTGAGTTTTGTGGAATTTTTCAATTTTAAGTCGAGTTTCATGGAATTTTCAGTGATCGATTTATTCTTATCTTTTTTTTGAGAATACCGACATTCGATCGAAAACGGAAGAGGAAATTCAATAGGATAGAGAAAAGTTACTGTTTTTAGGTGTAATTGTTTACGAATGATAAGAATCTTTGCAGAGATTTCGGTGATTATGCTTAAAGATTAAGACGAAAACGTCAGAATATCGAAAATTTTCCGAAATAATTGAATTTGGAAGACGGTTCAATATAACTTGCAATAATTTCGTTGTATATTTTCATTATATTCGCAAATTTAACGGACTCATTCGAGTGCTTTTACATGCATAATATGTGCTAACTATTGTTATTACATATTGATCTGTCACGATACACACTACATATCAATAATACATTCTCATTCACATTGTTCAGTTATCAGAAAGTATTTATTAAGAATCGCTTTTATTACTTTTGCATTATTGTTATTGCCGCTTTTCATTACGATTTCTTACTCTCGTAATTACGTGCTCTCGTAATCTCATTTACATTCTTTGCACAATTTCTTTTTCGCAACACAGTGAAATGATTCCAATTGTCCTGTATTAATACCTTCATACTCCATCTCTGAACTAATGAAGCGTTTACGTGAAGCTCAATGTTACCACTGTTATTATTATTGTATTCGTACCACATTTTTGATTCGACGATATGTTGTATGTAAATGGAAATGTGGATGTGAAATACAAGAAAGAATATTCAACACCAATGTGCATTATTAATATTATAATTATCATGACATTCTATTTGACTTTGCTGTTTGATATCTGAAATTTTCTGAACGTTATGCGATTTAATGCGATGTCAGTCGACAACGAAGATCAATGTGATATTCCATTTATTGTCATTATTTTTCATTTTTCAAAAGTAACATTTATTTGTTTGCTTTTTTCATTTGTTTTGGATTGTTTTTCAATATGTTACCGCCAAACTATTTGTGTTTTCCTTCTTACATATGCATTTATAAAAGTTGCTGTGTTGATCAACAAAAATAATTCTTCAATATCAATTTCCAAATCTAAACTATTCGTTATTAAAGCGTATAAATCAAGTAATTCGCATTGTGTGCTATTTTCAAGGAAAACAATTGGATTGTTCTCCTCTCACTCAAATCACAAAACAGATTTATTGGATGCAGTCAATTATCCAGTGATGGAATAAACATCACAACTGATCAATTTCATGATCAA